ATTATTATATTTATGTTATTTAAAGGTCAAGGTTCCCCTCGCACCTATGTGCTAGTCGTTCCCAACTCTAGGGGGAATGGTACTCATCTCTGTTTCAAAGCCGAAGAGCCAGCACTGTCCGAAGACGTCTCCGTGGTCATGTGGCTGGCATGTCTCAATGCTGAAGGCGCACGGAACGCTGTTCCCTTCCCACCAAAGGTGGTTCCTATTTTTCTACTTGCACTTTTTGCGTGCATTCGAACTGCCAGGTTGGCAGATGCTGGGACAAGTCACCGTTACGCGGCGCTAGGGATTCAAACCACCGACCTTTCTGATCGACAAGTGAGTGTCTCAGCCCCTGAGCCACCGCATCCCTTTCTTTCTAGAGCAGCTTTAATGTTGTCGTCCTGGGATAATAAAGGGAAGAAGGATCGGGTGGGATGGGGAGCGGCAGAGCAGCCAGAAAATGTCAGGGACAAACTCGATCAGTCTCCATTTGAAAACCAGGTGGAATGAAGGACAGTTGTTGCATATGGAAGGCCACCAGCAAAAGGGGAGAGGGGGAAAAATCAAGGCGGAAGGCAAAACCTTTTGGGAATCCCATGGATGGAGCCCCAAATTCCTTCCTTCTATCTTTGCGAGGAGAGAAGAAAAAATTAAAAGTGGGGAAGTCGCATGATATCGCATCCTCCGTTTGTCTACCTCCATGCCACTGGCAGTTCCTGCAAAATGGGGGAGGATGAAGGGGAGCACGAGAGAGTCCAGAAAGCCGAAAACAGTTGCCTGCAACGCATAAACTAGCGCTAAACTGCTAACGCTTCCTTCAAGCTACAACCAACCATCTTCCTGGGAGACTCCAAAATGGCAATCAGACATTGTCAGCCGCATCTCCAAGGCTGGTGAGCTTGGATGGCTGCTTGCAGATCTCAGAAGCAACTGAGAATTCTTTGCACTTGAGCCAAGGGTGCACCGTGTGACCTCTTTAACAAGGGCCAAAGATACCACCAAGCACGCTCCTCCATGCTCCGTGGAGCACAGCTTGCAATGCCTGAAGTTGCACAAATTATGCACTGCCAAATATTTCCAGTGGAAAAAACAACCGTCTGAGGACTTTTGTGGTACCTGAAAGCCCATCATCCCCGAATCAATCCTTAAAAACAAGCCTTGAATGTCACGGCAAATAGCAATCTGAACAGACCCAAAGGTGCTTTTTTCCCCAAGGGGCAACTGGAGTTTCTGGGTTTTCCTTTGAAGACGTTTCACTTCTCATCCCAGAAGCTTCTTCAGCTCTGAATGGACGGTGGGGAATGGAAGGATCGATACTCCTTGCAGACAGCTGGTCATTTGCGTCCTTTTGGAGAGTCCTTGAGGCCAACAGTTCCAAGAAGGCTCCACACCCATTTGCACCACTCAGGTGATCCTGAGGACACAGACTGACCTCCAAGTAGCCTCAACCATTTTCTAAAAGAATGCAAATGACCAGCTGTCTTCTTAGATGAGAAGCGAATAAAACAGAAAGTCCAGTTGCCTCTTGGAAAAAACCACCTTTGGGACAACCTGGATGATGGAGAATCTCCATGGATAAATCTGAACAGACCTGATCTTGTTCAGAAGCAGGTGCATCAATTTGGGAGGAACAATGCGGCATTGACAAATCCCGGAGCGTCTCAATCAAAGCCAGCCCTGTGGATGCTGGGCTTGAACAGCATTGTCCGTTGGGAGAGGGTGGGGAAAAGAGACGTGAAGCTGGCAGTGGGGTGAAGAAGACAAGTGATTAATTGGTCTGACAATTGCCAAAGCAGGTGGAAAGGACAGGATGACATAATCTTGATGCTGGAAAGGAAGTAAACCGCCGATTGGGGCTTTTTAGGAGTTCCAAAAGACTGGATTAAGAAAACGGAAAATGGATTGTCCTACTAGAATAGAACTGCCTTAAGCTGTTGAGGAACAGCAGCAAATGAAATTATCTAGGTTTCCCTTCTCCAACTGAGCTTCCACAAGGAAAGAACAACTCAGAAATCAGGGTCGACTTGGGAGTAAAGTCACAGGTGGAAGGTGAATGCCCCCTCCCATAGGAAATAAGAGAGACGTGAAAGAGGAGGGGGCCTTTGCAGGAAACAATTCGTTCGTTTCAGGAGTGTGAAGATCTGTCCGTGAAGCTCAGAGACTCTGTGCCAAGTTTTTTCTTGCACAGCACCGGATTTGGGAAATACTGACATGGCAGCTTCCCAAACTAGATAAGCTCTGTGGTCATAAATTCACCTTTGAAAGACTGTTTGCCAGGCCTTGGCTGAAGGTGAATGAGTGGAATTCACATTTGTTTAATGAAAGGGGTTTTGAAGGAGTCTGCTTCATGCTTTTGGGGGAAGCCTCAGTCAGAACAGATCAAAGGGATGGGGAGAAGGACCACGTTATCCCCCCCCTGGTCAGATCAAAATGGGGAGAACTTCCCACCTGGGCCCCCACCGCTCGCTGCAGAGCTGGGGTACAAGGGCTGGAACTACTGCCAGAACCCAGCCGTCCGTGAGGGGTGGTCTCCTGGCTGAGGACCGCTGTCCAGTTGAAGTCTGGCTGGACACCGTAGCTGCTTTTCTGAAGCTGCTTTTCCGCCTGCGGAGAAACCAATCACAAGACCCGGTATTGTTATTCCGCGGAGGATGCAACTTCATCCCGATTTATCTTGTTCTCTCTTCGCTCCAAGATGAGATACAGGCATGTTCCACGCATTTCTTGCCAGCCCTTTGCTCTTCCTTTTTCTTTTTCCAAAGAAAAACTTAAATCAACAAAATTGAACCTCCTCCATTCAACAGCAAGAGATACATAATAAAAAGGTTTAGGCGGTATAGATGACGGATTGTTTTAATACCCAGTCCTCCTCGGTGTATTGATATTCAATATCCCACTGATCGGATGTTAAACTTTAGAATGAGAATAGCAGAGTTGGAAGGGACCTTGGAGGTCTTCTAGTCCAACCCCCTGCTCAAGTGGGAAACTCTTTATCATTTGAGACAAATGCTTGTCCAATCTCTTCTTAAAAACGCCCCGTGTTGGAGCTCCCTAATATGATTTATGTCGATTGCCTATTTAGTATCCTATGACTATCACTAACTGTCGTATCTTATGGTTCTTGATGAATGTATTTTTTATGTACACTGAGAGCTTAAGCACCGAAGACAAATTCCTTGTGTGTCCAATCACACTTGGCCAATAAAGAATTCTGTTCGGTTCTGTTCCATTCATATTCTACATTCTATTCCATTCCATTCTAATTCTCCCAATTCCTAATTCAATTCTCTGCCTACAATGTGGTGCAGAATTCCATTCCACACCCACCTTTGAGGTTCACTTTGACTCCACGTTCAACTGGTTTCTCTACCTGCAACTGGGGAGATTGGTCTCTCACCTTGGTCTCTGCCTCCATTAACCCCTCCCTTGACTGTGATCAGGATTTATCACTGAGATCTTTTATGTACACCGAGAGCTTACGTGCCAAAGACAAATTCCTTGTGGGTCCAATCCCACCAATTCTGTTCTCCTTTAGAAATTTGGGGCTCAGTTGAAGACTACCTGGTGTGTGTGTGTGTGTGTGTGTGTGTGTGTGATTAAAGACACAAGGGACAGAAATGTCGGTGTCCAAAGGAACTGTCAGACCCGGTTTGTGTCCAGTGACTGCGCCGCATTTCCTACGGAGACTCGCTGCCTACAGCTGCTAATGTCAGAACTCCGCAATAAACACATCTGGATTAAAATTTAACCAGAGTGGCCTGGGCTGTATTTTACAATGCGTTCTATTCCTTCTCCAAAGAGGCCGCTTTGAATACAAGGCGGAGATGCAAGTGGATATCGGAACTGACTTTTCGCCATCCGCTTCCACCCTTTTCAGCATCCGAGTTCTCACTCTTCCCTTTGCCCGGGGGGGGGGGGACGTGGAAGTGCTAAAAGAGAAGTTTTTATGGTCTCCCTTCTCAAAGCTGGGAAGAGCAGTAACCCTTTGCCTCCCTGCTTCTTCTTAAATCTTAAACGCAGGTAACCCTCAACCGACAACTGAACCCCAAATTTCTGTTGCTCAATGAGAAACGGGTTAAGTGAGTTTTGGCCCATTTGATGACTTTTCTTGCCCTTCCTTTGTGAAGGGAATCCCTGTAGTTGTTAAAATTAGTCTTTATTAATTAAATTAAATTTAAATTAGTTAACTTTGCAGGGGATGCTAAGCTGGCAGGAATAGCCAACACCCTAGAAGACAGGCTCAAGTTCCAGATGGATCTTCACAGACGTGAACCCTGGGCCCTCTCTAACAAAATGAAATTCAACGTAGAGAAAAGGGAAGTCTCACACTTAGGCAATGAAAACCCAAAGGACACATATAAACTGGGTGAAACCAGGCTTGAGAGCAGGGACTGGGAGAGGCATCGTGGACTCTTAGTGGACAACCAGCTAAACAGGAGCCAGTTGTGTGCAGCGGCAGCCAAAAATCCCAACACAACCCTAAGCTGCATTAAGAGAGGGATACAATCAAGATCAAGGGAGGTACTAATACCACTCTATAAAGCCTTAGTAAGGTCACACCTAGAATCCTGCATCCAGTTTTGGTCACCACGCCATAAAAAAAGATGTTGAGACTCTAGAAACAGAGAGCAGAGAACAACAACCAGGATGATGATGGGACTGGATGCTAAAATTGGCTGATTGCAGGAACTTGGCCTGGCTGGTCTAGTGAAGAGAAGGACCAGGGGAGACTTGGTAGCAGACTTCCAGTATTTGAGGGGCTGCCAGGGACTGTTCCGACAGGCCTGGGGCTAAAGACTTGCAGCCCCACTTCGAATGGTATGATTGTTGTGCTTTTTAATTGTGTATGGTTTTTATGCTTTGTAACTTGTCTGTTTTTCCCCTCCCTTGAGTTGTGAGCCACCCTGAGTCCCTTTCAGGGAAAAGGGCGGCATACCAATAAAGCAAAATGAAAATGAAAAATGAAATGAAATGAGAAGGGTGGGGGAGGTCAAGCTATTCTCCAAAGCACTCAAAGGCCAGACAAGAAATGATGGATGGAAACGGAACAAGGAGCGATTCAACCTGGAAATAAGGAGAAATTTTCTGACAGTGAGAGCAATCAACCCATGGAACAGAAGTTGCCTTCGGAAGTAGTGGGAGCTTCATCACTGGAGGCTTTCAAGAAGAGACTGGACTGCCACCGGTCAGAAATGGTGTAGGGTCTCCTGCTTGGGTGAGGGGTTGGACTAAATGACCATTCTTTTTAGGTAGTCACTGAGGACACTCGGAGATTTATCTGTGTCCTCGGGGTCACCTGAGTAGAAGCACAAATGGTTCCTGTAGTCTGCAATTTTTCCTCTGGAAATCTATTCCGACTCCCCCACCATTCAAAGGGTGTCCGTTCTGTAAAAGGATGCCAAGGACCAGCTGTCTGCACGGAGTATAAATCCTTCCACTCCCTGTATCCTGTCAGAGCTGAAGAAGCTTCTGGGATGAGAAGTAAAACATCTTCAAAAGACAAAAGAAGAAACTCCACTTGCCTCTTGAAGTCTTAAAGTAGTCAAATTGGAGACCCTCTGCTCTTAGGGACGAGAACTCACGGAGAAAAAACTCCATAAATGCAGATGAGTTTCCCCTTTTTTTTTTGGGAGACTCAAGCTCCATTTAAGACGTATAATTCCCCCCCTCCTTTCCCTTCGCAATCTCCTGGATGTCCTCCGAAGGCTGCTGTTATTCTTCGGTTCGCCCTGCTACATCTGGAGATGGTCTTGTGATTTGTCTCCCAGGGCTGTTTTTAACTCATCGATGAATGAGTCTTTTCTTATCGTTCTCTTTCCTTTCGAAAGCATTCTTACCAAATAAATAAATAAGTCCCTCAATTAGGCTTCTATTCAGCCCAAAACAACAATCTATTTATTTTGCAGGCTGGAGAGGGAAAGAAATGGTGGTTCCCACCCCTGGTGAGATTTTTATAAGAAGCAACCAAGCTCAGAGAGCCCCCACCCCCTTCCCCCACTCCCCAAATGCCAATTCTTCCCTTCTTTTTTCCTTCTAAAGCCTGCTAGGTTGCTCTTGTTTCTTAAATTAAAAACCGTTTTTAGATGGCAACTGGCCAAATCCAACACAGACAAGGGTTGGTGTTTAGTAAGTGGGGCTTTACCAAGGAGTGAAATGCTTCTGGTTTGGGCTGGTTCACCCAAAGTGGTAGGAGAAAAAAAAAAGCTTAGCAAAGTTAAAAGAAAGTTCCTAGGATCAGCTGTGCTGCGCGACAGTAGGAAATTTTTACAACTTTTTTTTTAGCATTTGGGGTCTGATTTTGTTCCCAGGAGGCTTCCCTGAGGCCTGCAAGGCCAAAAACAGGGGGTGCTGTGAAAGAAAGAAAGAAAGAAAGAAAGAAAGAAAGAAAGAAAGAAAGAAAGAAAGAAAGAAAGGAAGGAAGGAAGGAAGGAAGGAAGGAAG